AATTAGCTACATATCCTCTATTTGTTAAATCACTAAAATTTATGACATGGTTGCTAATTAGAAAACTTATAGGTGAAACGTTTGAATGAAGGCTCAAGACAACAGTTGCCACTAAATGTGAAACAAACAACATAATATATAATTATACTAATGCATTTCTTTGCAACGATATGCGTGTTAGACAATAATTAGCTACATACCCTCTATATGTTAAATCACTTAAATCAATCATATGAAACATTGCTAATTTTGAGTCTTATAGGAGTCGATTGCCTTTGACAGTTGAGGCATCAAAATTGCAGCTGCCTTTCATCTGTGCATGATTGTAAGAGGCGACCAATTGGGTTCGCATGACCAGAGTATCTCTATCTCTTAGCTCCAACAGGTGAGGTTGTTTTGATCCCGGGTTTTTCTTTAAGTTTGTAACTCCCGAGGTAAGCAAAAATCATATTTTCAGTTTGGCGCCATATGACCTAAGTTGTGTCGTTGCGCCGTAAAGCCAAACAAAAACAACAACAAAATATGTTAGCACAAAGTTCAGCTCAATTTCTGATTCTATAAGTCGCTTATAATAGGCAAGACTGTATCGAGAGTTACCATGAAACACAGCAGAACTTCCATGCATTCTCATAGAGACTCGTCTGTGAACCTTCAGTCGGAAAAAGGTAGGCTTATTGATGAGTCATTGACCGAGAATACCAGCAACATTATATAACACAGCAATTTCTTTCTTCTCAAAGTTTTTTTATGGCAGGCTGATCATTGTTGTTGCCACTAAATGTGAAACAATTAACAGAATATATAATCATAGCCTTAATTTATGCCTTTGCAACGATATGCCTGTAAGACAATCATTAGCTGCATATCCGCTATTAATATATGTAAAATCATAAAATCAATGACATGCAACCTTGCTTATTAGAAAACTTATAAGTGAAGGTGAAACGTTTGAATGAAGACTCAAGACGAGCCCGGGGTTCTAAGAATACACGTCATTCTAAAACAGACAACTTTTTGAAAATAAATTTCAGCTTTACAAAGTGTTTGTCTCTCTCAGTACAAGAACATGTTATTTGAAGCTGCTTTTCGCATGCATACTTTACAGTTCTTAGAAAAAGCTAAATGTCACCAGGCTAATTCCTAACAAAACAAGAGATTTTCATGCGTACTAGCAAATACTTTTGTGTCCTTTTCTCGATATCAGAATAAAATATATAAGATACCATTGCACTTATCTAACTAGTATTATTAACATGGACCAGACCTACGGAAGTTTTCCATATAATAACATGTGATAACAGCAACATATAACATAACAGCCGGTAAATTAACAGTTACTTATAAAGTATGGTGCAAATGAAAACGGTTCAAGTATTTATCGGTCAACGGAAAAAAAATGCAGTGTTTAAATTCAGTGTTGTACGGTGCTCCAATATGCGAGTCAATAGGCCTTTTTCAACATATATATTCCCTAAAATTTACAATACAAACACACAATTTTGTATGGAACTTGAATTTATGCCTAACCATAATGTATACACGTGCTCGTAAGGTCATAGAACATTGTTGTTTTAACACATGTTTTTGTGACAAGTACGAGTCATGTTGAGGTAGACACGATCTTTTGTAAACACTATTTCTTCGAAGTATGTAATTTTTTGTGAATTGTGTTGTGCTAGATTAACGATAAATTGTTTCAAAAATTCGATGGAGTACTTAAACAATAGAAAAAAATTTGCAATGTCCAGCAGTAAGATATTTTGTAAGCTATTACCTGCAATTTGGTTATCCCGCCATTAATATTTTGTCCAGAAATATACGGTGTCTCGGTCAGAAGTATGATATTTTGAAGTTGCGCCGAAAAGTTGTGGTTAACGCCCTATCACCGTGAATTAGATGATAAAAAAAATGATATATACAGGTCTGCTATTATTTTCTCATAATAAAGAAAAGGCACAATATTGCCTCAAATAATCATTCGCAAAGAGTCTCTTCCAGTTGTTTATTTAACCCTTTTTTCTAAAGAAAGTGTAGGAAAATATTTAGTGTTGTGAAATCTTTCGATAATTTAGTAGTGTTCGTTTACAGTACGCATGCGCTGTAAAATTGGTGTGAAATAAAAATGGCGGAAAATAGTCCAGGATAATATTTTCTCAAAATTTGAAGGAATTGCGGTAAGTATCTTGAAACGTTTGTGACTAATAAGTAAATTATTTTTTACTTAAATGAAATGTTAACATAACAAGTCAAAAACAATTAACTTTCTTAGGTAAATTACCAATGTTTTATCAATTGAAAACGAAAGTTGGATTTTGGGGAATTTCCGCGTGAGGCTAATAATCTTTAATATCAACACACATTAATTAAACTTTTTAGTTTATTAAGCTTTTCCTTAAATGAATTCATAATATTGATTAATAATTGCAACAGCTAGTCCTATTGCATGGGTTATGATTATTAAAATGTGTGTGTACCGAAAACGAAAGTAGCAAATTATCTCCCCTTTGTTTATACATTTTATTGAAAAATATAAGCAAATAATAATAAGAAAATAACGGGAAATATACCCATCTTAATAAACACATATAATAACAACTTGATTCAAATATTAGGCCAGCAGGGCATTTTTTGTCAAAATTGTAAAGGGGCCTGGACCTGTTTATTTTGTGATAAAAAGTACGATATTAGAAAAAAACCCAAAAAAAGCAACATATAACCAGGTATGACTTAATACCGGATATGACTCATATCCGCAGATATGACTTTTAATACCGGATATGACTTATATTTTAAATAAAGTGGTATCATAAGTTCTGCCAAGGATATGAATTTTAGAACATGCAACGAATATAACTTGTTACTTTTTCATTTATGGGCATAATTTAACGATTTTTTGCATGTATTATTATTTTAACTTTTTAAATTATGTGACAAAAACAATACCAAAAAATGAATAAAAAAATAAAAGAAACCAGTTTGAAAACAACAAGTCATATTTGGTATCTTCAATCCGCCACAGATTTGACTTTTATACAAAGCGTGCAATATATATAACTTAAAAAGTCATATTCGATATCTTCTTTCTGCTACGGATATGACTATTATTTAAATTAGAACATGCAACAAATATAACATGTAACATTTTTATTACAGTATCAAATTTAACCATTTTTGGCATGTAATTTCATTTTATTATTATAAAATATCATATGAAGAAAAAACTTTATGAACTATAAGTCATATTCGGTATCTTCTGTCCTTCACGTTAACCCATGTACTGAATCAACCGTTTCCAAATGTCGCGGATTGCCAGGTAATATACGGTATGTCTTAATACCGGAGATGACTCATATCCTCAGATATGACTTTATAAATATGACTTATATTTTACAAAGTAATTATTTTTTTATTATATTTTCTTGATACTAAGTTTTATAATAATAAAATGATTTTACATGCAAAATATCGTTAAATTTTGTCAATAAATAAAAAAGTTATAAGTTATATTCGAATTACGTTCTATAAAAGTCATATCTGTAGCGGACAGAAGATACCGAATATGACTTATATTTTATAAATTGATTATTTTTTTATTAACTTTTCTTGATACGGTGTTTTATAATAATAAAATGATTTTATATTCAATATATCGTTTAATTTGGTTCATAAATAAAAAAGTACTTACATAAATAACCACAAACTAGGGAAGGGATTTTCTGTGTGTCACGCAGTTACATGTACTGCATGTGCGCGGAAATAACTTATTATAGAACATATCAAATGGAGGAGTGGAAACTGGATAAAAAATAATGTTTGTTCAATTAATGAATATTTGTAAATCATTTATATGGTCACACGTTTACAATTGATTTCAATTTTTTTAAATATCAGGTATTGAATGCCAACCACAGGTGCTTGAAGCAAACTTTTTTATGTTCTATATGGGCTATATACTAAGTATATACTATAATCTTAATATACATATATATATATATATATATATATATATATATATATATATATATATATATATATATATATATATATTATATATATATATATATATATATATATATATATATATATATATATATATATAATATAGGCTGATTATGTAAAATATTTGATAAAGTGACAAGCGCCTGTGATGCCAAATGTTTTCAAACATTTTTTTTTTCCAAAAATGAAAATCACACCAAATTACCTCCCTGTGTCTCTAACAAATACTGCCGAATTTCGTTGTAATCTCGCACGTCTGCTAAGTGGGTGTTAAGACCCCTCAATTCAGATTTTAAAAAGGGAAAGCGCCAAGAAAATTTGTGTCAGTGTTTCTTTGTATGAATTAAATTATGATTATAAAATGTTAAACTATAATAATTATTCAGGTTGTAAACACTATAATTTGCTTATTAAACCCCGGTATATTTTGAACGGCAAGGACGGGATTTAACCTAATCCGTAACCTCATAATTGCAACAACAACACTAAAATTAGAATGGAAAATGCTTTAAACTTTATAGTTACTAGTCATTAGTTGTCTTTTATAGTTATATGATAAAAGAAATAAACAAATTGTTCAGTTTTCATAGTTTATTTATCTATAATCCTGATCGATGACACCACTAGTTTTTTGTCTTTTTTGGAACACATATGAGCCGCGTCACGACAAAACCAACATAGTGCGTTTGCGACCAGCATGGATCCAGACCAGCCTGCGCATCCGTGCAATCTAATTAAGATCCATGCTGTTCGCTATCAGTTTCTCTACTTGTAATATGGTTGGTAAGCGAACAGCATGGATCCTGATCAGACTGCGAGGATGCGTCTGGAACCATACTGGTCGCAAACCCATTATGTTGGTTTTGTCATGGCACGGCTCATATCATATTTACCCAGTATTTTTGACTTTGAATTGCAATCCAAGACCATAATTACTTATTTATATAAAATTTAACATAATCTTTTTGTTTGATTTGTTTAGATATTACATCTAATTATTACATCTAATGATAAATAACCAGTATTTTCATAGCCACATTGGATGTGATGTCACAAAAGCCAACAACTTTTTTTTAAAGGTAAATCATTAATAAAATATCTTTTACTTATCTTTTATCAGCTCTATTGTAATGTAATTGCTGTATATTCAGCATTAAAGTAATGTAAATGTTGTTTAACCTATAGCTCTTCAGCGCTTCTTATGTAAAATTCTTCCAAGTATAATTTCCAATAACCGTAAATTATACCATACCCAGACTATGGTATAATTTTCAGTTTTGAAGATTGAAGGAGTAAGTGTTTCTGGGCGGAGCTATAGGTTAAAACAGATACACCATTGGTGCGTTGACGATTTCTGGGTTTGCGTAAATTATACCATAATCACGTGACCTTTCTTATGCAACCTCACTCTACTTCGTCTCGTGAGGTTAAGGCATAAGAAAGGTCATGTGATTATGGTATAATTTACGCAAACCCAGAAATCGTCAACGCAGCAATTGTATATTCATTACTTATTCAGCATTTTAGTAAAAGAGAAAATACTATTTATACTCCCACACAACAAAGTTGTAAGGGGGTATACCAGACTGACAGCTTGTCATCAGCTCGTCCATCCGCAAGAAGCTTCTATTTGACCGCGTGTAAAAAATAGTTACTCCGTAGACAATTCAGCGATGTAGCAGACTTCCCGAATTCGAAAAAAACTGTCAGACATTCGGTCTGACAAACCATGAAAATCTGCCGGACCGAAACAAAATCTGTCAAACCAAATAAAATTGATCAAAATCAAAGAATAACTTGTGTTTGTATTTCTAAGACACTTTTTGTTTTTTTATTTTTTCGCCGTAAAAATCGGCACAATCCGTACAGCGCATTTTCATCTCCTCCCTGTCATACACCAATGATTCATGGTTCTGCTTCCATTTTTCATTAAATTTTGTCTCAGGTCTATTCTTTTCATCCTTTTATTGCTGTTCTGCGCACTCTTCTGGCGTAGATTTTCGTTTTCCCCCAGGTTTGGCACCTTTAGCGACGCCATTTTATATACATGCGGCTTGGATAAAAGCCGGACAGTCGGACCAATCCGGAATAAAAAATTGTCGGACCTGATCAAAATTTATCGGACATGTCCGTCGGACCGACGTATTTCGGGAAGTCTGTGATAGAACATTAAAATAATCGATTATTAAAAAGAACTATCGAATGTTGCCGACTTTGGGGTGGTCCGATTACATGTAGTTATTGATTTTCAGAGACAATCGGGACAACACTAGCAGTGGCAGTTTCAGTTTTGAGGTCAAAGGTAAAGGTCACTTTGATCTTTGCCACAAAAACATGTAGAATACATAATTTAGCAATGCAATGGCTTACTACCCTCAAATTTGGCAGGGGAGTTGTCCTTGAGCTTTATTCTGACAAAGTGGTATGCGGGGGTTTACACGCCATGACAGTGGCAGTTTTAGTTTAACTAAGAAGGTTATGAAATTATTCACCCCTTTAATGATTCACAACAAATGCATAAAAATCCACCAATCGTTTTTATTTCAAAATTTGTTGTAACGATTCACAAGGCTTGTGGTTAATATTTACTGAAAACATGTACAATTGTAGATTTGTATAAAGAACTATTTGTATACAGGCCTACTTTTCCGTATCCCATGTGTCCAAATATAGGCCTGGGCATTCCCAATGCAAACTTTGTCCTTTTTTTCCCAATCCCAAAAAAATCCCTTTCCCGAAGTCGGTGATTTGAAAAGGTACAAACATTTTGTATTTGGTGTGGACGTTCCAAATGTTTCAGATATCTTTTAAATTCTTATCAGTTTCAGTAATATTTATTTAGCTTTGTTTAAAGAGTTTGCACATATTATATGCTGGCATTTTTTTCCCCAAAAAAATAAATTTCACAATTATTTCTTTCCTTATTATACCCCCGCACAACAAAGTTGTAAGGGGGGTATACTGGAATCAGCTTGTCCGTCCGGCTGTCCGTCCGGCCGTCCGTCTGTCGGTTTTTTCTTGTCCGCCCAATAACTTAAGATTCCTTTGACCCTTAGTCTTCATATTTGGCATGGAGGTTAGTCATGATTAGTAGATGACCCATATTGATTTTGAGGTCACTAGGTCAAAGGTCAAGGTCACAGGGGCCTTGACTTCAAAAAGCTTGTCCGCCCAATTACTTAAGATTCCTTTGACCCTTAGTCTTCATATTTGGCATGGAGGTTAGCCATGATAAGTAGATGACCCTTATTGATTTTGAGGTCACTAGGTCAAAGGTCAAGGTCACAGGGGCCTTGACTTCAAAAAGCTTGTCCGCCCAATAACTTAAGATTCCTTTGACCCTTAGTCTTTATATTTGGCATGGAGGTTAGTCATGATATGTAGATGACTCCTATTGATTTTGAGGTCACTAGGTCAAAGGTCAAGGTCATAAGGGCCTTGACTTCAAAAAGCTTGTCCGCCCAATAACTTAAGATTCCTTTGACTCTTAGTCTTAATATTTGGCATGGAGGTTAGTCATTATTAGTTGATGACCCCTATTGATTTTGAAGTCACCAGGTTAAAGGTCAAGGTCACAGAGGCCTTGACTTCAAAAAGCTTGTCCGCCCAATAACTTTAGATTCCTTTGACCCACAGTCTTCATATTTGACATGGATGTTGATCATGATTAGTAGATGACCCCTTTTCATTTTGAGGGCACTGGATCAAAGGTCAAGGTCATAGGGACTTTGACTTCAAAAACTTTGTCCACCCATAAACTTAAGATTCCTTTGACCCACAGTCTTCATATTTGGTATGGATGTTGATCATGACTATAAGGTGACCCCTATTGATTTTGAGGTCACTGGGTCAAAGGTCAAGGTCACAGGGACTTTGACTTCATAAACTTTGTCTGCCCAATAACTTTAGATTCCTTTGACCCACAGTCTTCATATTTGACATGGATGTTGATCATGATTAGTAGATGACCCCTTTTCATTTTGAGGTCACTGGATCAAAGGTCAAGGTCATAGGGGCTTTGACTTCAAAAAGTTTGTCCACCCATTAACTTAAGATTCCTTTGACCCACAGTCTTCATATTTGGTATGGATGTTGATCATGACTATAAGGTGACGCCTATTGATTTTGAGGTCACTGGGTCAAAGTTCAAGGTCACAGGGACCTTGACTAAAAAAGCTTTTCTTCTCAATTGCTAAAGAATGTCCTGTCCGCAATGTGTTGATTTTGACATTTTCACATTTGAAGCATGTAGAATACATAACTTAGCAATGCACTAGCTTAGTTACCTCAGATTTGGCAGGGAGGTTGTCCTTGAGGTCTAAATGGCCACTGTTGATTCTTACAAAGTGGTATGCGGGGGTATTCACGCCATGAGAGTGGCAGTTCTAGTTTGAATAAAAAATTAAGTCTTTGACACAATGTCCCCAAATTTGCAATGAATATTATACAATTACATGTAAGAAAAAGGCCTGATAAAATTTGTGATTGCGTCTTTTATGAAGGTAAGTACCTAAACCAGTGTCAAGAAAACAATTTTGATTGCTTAACAGTATACACATGTATATGCATAGAACAATATTAAAACCTGTGTTTTCTATTCAATAGGTACGTCAGTATAGAAATAATATTTTCCACTCAAGCAGCATGGAATTAGAAGAAAGTGAGGCCAATTCATATATTGACGATATGATAGCAGTTTTACAAGATGGTAAAGAGCTATTACAACAACCAGATGCCCAGATAGCAGTGAATAAACTTCAAGATGTAAGTGTAAATAATGAATTATATCAGTTTGAAATCTTTATGGAGTTAACTTAAAATGATTAAAGATAACATGCCACATAATTCAGGACAAAGTTAAGGTAACAGAGTTTGAAGTGGTAATAATAATTCCCTTAAGTTAATTGATAAAGTCACATGAAAATATATATGTACCTATAAAATGTTAAATTATAAACAAAAGAGATCTTAGTTGTAAAGAACTTCTAAATTCCAAAAACTTTGAAATCTGAACAATTTTAAGGGTCCTGAAATTCTATATAATTCATACATCTGAAATTAAGGAATTCTAAATTCTGATATTGTGGTAAGGTTTGGATTATATCAATAAAAAATTACTTTAAATATTCGAAAATTGAAAAAGCGTGTGAAGAATATTATACGTTGTATTGAAGAGTAAATATTATAAATTACAAAGCTACATTTTTTATGATAGAAAATATAATAAAACTGATTTCTTTTAATCAGCTGAAGAAGAAAGATTTCATTATTACCACTGAAAGCTTTGATGAAATTCTAAGAGAAATTAAGGAAGAACTGGCAAAAATTCTGAAATCGACAGAAAGTGCTGCAACTAAAGAAGAATATGATGATCTGAAGAAGAAGCTAATAGACCTTGAAGCCAAGATGTCTGGTGAAAAGGAGGGAAAGCTGGAAATTGAAAAAGAACTTGAAGGACTAAAGAAAACAATAAAAGAACTTGAATTCCAAATGTCTCAGGAAACACTTGAGAAAGCCGAATTGAAAAAGAAATTTACTGTTCTAGAGATACTTGTATCAGAACAGAAAGAGGTAAAACAAATTTCCTTCTGTTTGTTAACTAAAATGAGCCGCGTCACGACAAAACAAACATAATGTGTTTGCGACCAGTGTGGATCCAGACCAGCCTGCGCATCCGCGCAGTCTTATCAGGATCCATGCTGTTCGCTTACAAACCCTATAACAAGTAGAGAAACTGATAGCGAACAGCATGGATCCTGATCAGACTGTGCGGATGCGCAGGTTGGTCTGGATCCATGCTGGTCGCAAACCCATTATGTTGGTTTTGTCGTGACGCGGCTCAAGTGATGTATGTTAAGCGTATACATGTATATAGACATCTTTCCATTAAAGAAGGTCAAGACATGATAGGTAATTGTAAAGAAATTACTTTATGATTTAAGTTCTTGTAGTAATATACTTTAAATTACTTTATGATTTAAGTTCTTGTAGTAATATACTTTAAATTACTTTATGATTTTAGTTATTGTGGTAATATACTAATAAATTACTTTATGATTTAAGTTCTTGTGGGCCATGTGGTAATATACTTTTAACTGAAAAAAAAAAAAACCAGATTTATCCCATGTACAATGGGTACAAAATGTATATAGCCTTAATTATCCAATGCTTACAAATATTGTTGGAATTTTTAAAAGTAAATTTTCCAAAATCCCCGTATGAAAAAAAAAAGTTTTAGCATATTTCCTGAAAAGCATATGGCACATGCAGAAACTCCTTGCTTAAAGGGATATTCAGGCAAAAAATCATAATGATCTTATGTACTCAAATCACGCTAAAATGACATTTCTTAAAGTCCCAGCATGAAATTCTGTTTTAATTTTATTTATTTTTGGTTTAACGCGTAAATTTATCTATATATGTTTAACAAAATTTAGAAGCCAACAGAATCACTGAATAGTTTAAAGACAAGTCGTGTGACTTGAACAAACTCTTGAAGTTACAATAACAGATATTGTGGATATTGTATGATAGAAACAAGTGTAAGTCATTCATTTGACATGTTCTTTAATGTTTCCAGAGTTCACTGTGCCAACTATTGTGAAATCTTAGCGCACTAACCTGACCCATGCGGGTCAAGTTAGGAAACCACCATTCTATTCTTTATATGGAGAAAAGTTATGTTCCTTTGACTGTCTTATGTATTCATTTTGAGGGCATTTACAGAATAATGAATGGAAAAAAAAACAAAGTAAGAAATTAAAATGTTGCCTTTGTCCCCCTTTAAAGGCCAAAACTCATTAAAAAAAGGTCAAACTTAAAAGTTGAATATAGCTATTCTTACCCTGATGAAGGTCAAACATATAAGGTTTAATGTAAGCTGGCTGAGCTTCCTAATGGTGAAGGTCACATTTAAAAGGTTTAATGTTAGCTATGCTTACGCATCATTTAATGTAAGCAGTTCTTGCTCATGGTGATGGTCACACTTAAAGATTAAATGTTAGCTATGCTTGTTCATAGTGAAGATAACACTTAAAGTTTTATGATAGCTATGCTGGCTTATGGTGATGATCCCACTTAAAATGTTAGCTATCCTTGTTCATAGTGGAGATCACACTTACAGGTAAAAATGTAAGCTATGCTGGTTCATAGTGGAGATCAAACTTACAGGTAAAATGTTATCTATACTGGCTCATGATGAATATCCAACTTAAAGGTTAAATGTTAGTTATGCTTGCTCATGATGAAGATCACATTTAAAGGTGGAATGTTAGCTATGCTTGATCATGGTGAAGGTCACACTAAAAGGTTAAATGTTAGCTATGCTTGCTCATCGTGAAGGTCACACTTAACGGTTAAATGTTAGCTATGCTTGCTCATGGTGGAGATCACACTTACAGGTTAAATGTTAGCTATGCTTGCTCATGGTGAAGGTCACACTTAAAGGTTGAATGTTAGCTATGCTTACTCATGGTGAAGATCACACTTAAAGGTTAAATGTTAGCGATGCTTGTTCATGGTGAAGGTCACACTTAAAGGTTAAATGTTAGCTATGCTTACTCATAGTGAAGATCACACTTAAAGGTTAAATGTTAGCTATGCTTACTCATGGTGAAGATCACACTTAAAGGTTAAAAGTAAGTATGCTTGTACTAAGTGAAGGTCACACTTAAAGGTTAAATGTTAGCTATGCTTGTACTTAGTGAAGGTCACACTTAAAGGTTAAATGTTAGCTATGCTTACTCATGTTGAAGATCACACTTAAAGGTTAAATGTAAGTATGCTTGTACTTAGTGAAGATCACACTTAAAGGTTAAATGTTAGCTATGCTTGTTCATGGTGAAGGTCACTCTTAAAGGTTAAATGTAAGCTATGCTGGTTAAATGTAAGATTTGCTTGCCCATAATGAAGATCACACTTAAAGGTTAAATGTTTGCTATGCTTGTTCATAGTGAAGATCCTACTTAAAGGTTAAATGTAAGCTATGCTGGTTAAATGTAAGATTTGCTTGCTCATAATGAAGATCACACTTAAAGGTGAAATGTTAGCTAAGCTGGTTCATGGTGAAGGTCACTCTTAAAGGTTAAATGTAAGCTATGCTGGTTAAATGTAAGATTTGCTTGCTCATAATGAAGATCACACTTAAAGGTGAAATGTTAGCTATGCTTGTTCATAGTGAAGATCACACTTAAAGGTTAAATGTAAGCTATGCTGGTTAAATGTAAGATTTGCTTGCTCATAATGAAGATCACACTTAAAGGTGAAATGTTAGCTAAGCTGGTTCATGGTGAAGGTCACATTTAAAAGTTTAATGTCAGCTATGCTTGCTCATTGTTAAGGTTACACGTAAAGGTTAAGTATGATATCTTGTTTGTTATGTTAGCCTTAGGGTTTGCCTTACCTATCGAATGATTTTCTTCAATCATTGCTTAGTTTACACAATTCAGCACTGATAAATGTTGAGATTGTTGTCCAGGGACAAATTTTGTTTCAAAATAAGGTATAGTACTATGAACTTTGATAATCATGTTGATAATTTTAGCTTCAAATTTGTACAACTTAGAAACATTCTTTGAGATTATAAAATGTGATCCAATGACCTACTCCTAAATTGCGGAGCATTTTCTTACAAAGAATTTTGGGTGAGTGATTAACCCATTACCCGATATACACGCCTTAAAACGTCTTTTTCACCCCCCCTTATTGTTGTCTCAAATGGTGAAAACAATGCCTTATTTAGGCTCTCAACACTTGTTTTTGTTTGAGAAAAGTTGTTTAAATAAAAAAGTGACCCACTTTTCGGCAAGGCCCCCCCCCAACCAAAAGATACATCAGGGGTTGCCAGAAGCGGGATGTGACCCCTTTTGTTTGGGGGTTTGAAGGTGGGCGGCAGTCCCCCTCATCGCCAAGAAAATGTTGGACATGTGACAGGCTAAAACTGACCCCAGATCGATCATGAGGTAACGTGTAACCTACGCTGAAAAGAATTTGACTTTATCTCAATTCATTGAGAAGTTGCAGCACTTTCAAATCAATTTTGATGGAAAAAATCAATGCAAAATAGTGATTTTTTGGCAATTTTGAGATGTCTCCTTGTTGCCATGGTAACAGGAAATTTAAGCCTGGGAATGTTGTTACAAAGGCAATGGTTGAGTCAACATTTGTACCAAGTTTGATTAGTATTGAAGAAGTTTATATAGTTTTATAGCAATTTGAACTTGTAACGGGAGACTTTTCAATAAAAACAGCCATTTTTTCAGAAAATGCTCATGAAGTAATGGGTTAAATAAGGTGATCATAATGGTTATTATGCTAAAATATAAAAATGAAATAAAATATGTACACAATTCTGTACATACCTTTGGGCATTAAATACTATTTATATCTTGTTGATGAGTTTTGAACAAAAATGTCTTTTTTGGAGTAAAGAAGATGATTTGTTTTTTGCAGGAAATGGCAAAAATTACGAGCAAACCAAGTTAGGTGAGTGAATATTTGTTTTGATGGTGTACATACAAGTTTATGATATTGCCATTAATATGAAAACAAACAAAGAACAACTGAAGATCCTCGTTACTTTATTTTTTTAGAAATTTATTTAAAGAGACTCCACTGAGGTCTTTTGATATAACAGGACTGGAAATAATTTTTTGAGATTATCACTCCATTTGATGTAGATCTATACTAATAATTTATGTGCGAAATTTCAGATCATTACCTCGCTCCATTTTTCCAACATAATTATTATAATAGTGAAAAATAACCCAAAATGGAAAGGCGTTTAAACGCTTTTTACTCAAATCAGACAGAGAATATCATAAACATACGATTTTCAATGTTTTTTGTTTTTTTCTTAATTATATTTTATTTATATTTCTGTTTAAAGTACTCATGATGATCTATGTGAAAAATTAAAATTTTATGTTTTTAGCCTTATAAACCTCAGTGGAGTTCCTTTAATGGTTTAGTACTTCGGATCATACAATATCATTAAATTTATAATGTATTTAAATTAATGCAATTAACATTTGATTATACTATACCACATAATGTGGTTGGTGCTATACTGGAATCACCTTGTGGCATCATTAGGTCAGTCATTCCATCTATTTGTTTCCATCGTGCCCGCGCTATAAATCATATACCCCTTTAAAGATTTTCTTCGAATGCTTACCTCAACCTGTCAACCTGCAGAACCAATGCCACCAATGTACCAGCTCAAGGTCAATATCATCCTTGAAGAACAAATGCCAAACATCAAACTTTTTTTTCTTTTCTCTATAAATTTTATACTCACTGTGTGATTTACCTTAAACTTGCCTCAACAAGGCAATGTGCAAAACAAATGTCTGTACATGGTTTTCTCAAGGTCAAGGTCATCTATGGAGGTCAAAGGTCAAATATGGGACATTGTCTTCTTCCCTTTATGCATCCTTTACCTTTTGAAGATTTTTCTTTCAAACTTGACTCATATGTACATCTTAACAAGGCAATGTTTAGAACCGATGCCTCTGCAGTGCTGGCTCACAATTTCTTTGATTATCAAAGGTCAAAAATCAAACAGACAATAATGTATTCGTTCTATAAACCGTATAAATTTTCTTTAAATTGGCATAACTGTTTACTGCAACATGAAAAGCCATGCCACAGCTGTGTCAGTTGTAGGTCAAGGTAACCATTGAAGGTCAAATGTCATATATCAAACATTTTGTCTCTCTATAAATACTACACTTGTCAAGGATTTTCTTCAAACTTGCAATGATCACCTGAATAAGGCAATGTGATGAACCAAGGCCACTGCCTTACCCAGGGTTAGAATTTAGCAATAATTTCTACTTGCAAATGTTTGCAAGTGATCAAATGTTAAACTGGCATTATGAGGAAGTCAACTGGCATTTCCATTATCATGCATCTTATTATTATTATAATACACAATGACAATGACATTTTGAACATATGGTATGACAAATATTAATCAGCAGCATGTCCATTAAATGACAGAAACAATTCTTTATCACTAGTAAACACAGATCTCTTCCTGTAACGAAACAAAAACATTTCAGCACATTAATTTATAAATGATAACAATTGTTTAAGAGTCAGATTAGATATACCAGAGAAACACCCACCGGTGACAATGTTCAGTTAAAAACTTGTTCATGTAATGTAATTTCTTAGGACTTTCTTTAATTTTAGCATATTTTGTACTTGATTACACCAACACCCTGAAAACTCAGAGGTACTGATCTACTTAGATAAATATTTCCGCTTATAAGTAAACACTTTACAGAAGAGTGCTACGCATTTACATTGGACTCTGATTTAACAACATGTGTTTGGCTGTTATAAATAGTCCATCAGAATATAAAATAAAAAGAGCAACCAAAAATTGATTTTTAAGGTAAACATCATAATCGTCAGTTACTGCATCTGGCACAGTAAACATCATCAGTTTCTGCAGTGGGCAGTTGCCAAGCATAATCATCAGCTCAGAAGATAACAATTTTGTATAATGTATATGTCCAAAATGAACAGTCACTTGCTAATAAATGCCAGCTAGAGTAATTTTTACTGGCATTATTAGATTTTAACTGGCATTTTGCCAGTATGCCAGCTTAAATTCTAACTCTGTTACCAGCTCAACGTTAAGGTCACTCTTGGTCTATCAATGTTTTTTCCCTTTTTAGATCTTGTCATGAGGGAATCTTGCTATGTTAAGATAATTTGTGAGTATTGCTGATTTTATTGGCTGCTCAATAAATTTCAGGTTGTTGTACTCAATTGATAGAACATTATCGCAGTGATGTACTTAAAGTATCAGCAATACCTTTACAACCAGATGAGGAAAATTGTAACTTCAATGACATTTATATAAGACCAACTATAACAAGCAAGATAGAAAGGAGCAGAGGGGAGTCTGAGGAAAAGGAAATAAAGTCCATGTCAGAGATTTTCACAAAGAACGGGGAACCACAGAAATTTATTTATATTGTTGGAGATGCAGGGTCTGGTAAGAGTAGTTTCTGTAAATATTTGATCAACTGTTGGTGTATGGCACACAGTGATGGACACAATGAAGATGATGAGTTTGAAGGAGTCAAGGAAATGAAGAAATTTGATTTCATGTTTTATATTTCTCTTAGACATAACATAAAGATCCGAAGTATCCAAGAAATGCTTGAAATGCGATATGATAAGATAAAAAATTTAAGTAAACTTCTGGAAAATGATTCTGAAAAGATGATTATTTTGCTTGATGGTTTAGATGAATGGTCTTTTGACAGTGAGACTAGAAATGAGTTCCAGGCAGGCCTTCCTGAACGTGACTTTACAAAGAAATACACCATTGTTACTACATCACGGCCATGGAAAATTCACAGTTTGAGAGTAAGTAATAGAGAGATACATCAATTATTGAAATTAAAAGGGTTTGATAAAACACATGAAAAAGAAATGATTAAGAAAACAATAACAGCATTGAACGAATCATTAGATCCTAATGAGTGTGAACAAGAGCTTAGGATACCGTCTGTGGTTGGCCTGAAACAGGTACCAATTATGCTGCAGCAATTGGTTTGTTTATGGTGTGATGGTAAACTCGATAAAACCTCAAGGTGTGCTATTTATACTGGTATGTTAGAACTTTATTTCACCTGGAATATCAATAAAACTTTAGGAAATAATGCAGAATGTATGGAAAGTTCTCAGAATGTTGAACTCCCTCAGTATTTAACAAATGTAGAGATATGTAGATTAAATAGTCATCTTATATATGGTGTGTCACACTTGGCTTATGAGACATTGTTCAATTATCCAAAAGATAAGTCCTTAACATTTGACAAATCTGTGTTTGATGATTTAAAAATATCACATGAAATGCGAGAAACATGTCTGAAACTGGGAATTTTGACAGAAGATAAATGTCCTTCTTTTTCTGTATCCAAACCTAAAAGCTCTGTGTTCTCTTTCATTCACAAATCAATGCAAGAATTTCTGGCTGCAGTGAATATCGGTATCAATTTCAATGCAAAAATTGGTTTGTCAGATAGTACAGGAAATAATGAATTAGCCAAAAAGTTTATTAATGAGGTTTTTCAAAAATGTTCAACAGTAAATGACATATTAGAGCAGTCAAATGTTATCATTATGCTATGGGGTCTAGAACCTAGATTAGCAACACATGTGTCAAAATACATATATGATACTGTGTCGGAAGACTCTCGTGTTCAGGAATACAGGAGAACAATAAATAGTAGCATTTATGACGACCATAGTTGTATTACTGATATTCAAAATCTTATGTTTGAGTCAATGGAAGAATTCAATGCATCAAGTAGTATAGGAAGTAATACTGTATTTTATATAGGAGATTTGGTCATTCGTAGTTGGAATGATCAGTATTGTGATATTGTTTATTCAAGTATTGATCAGCATCAAATTGTTCCTAACTATGTTCTGTCTATTGATGTAGATGAAATCAACACAAAAAATGTTAAATTTACAAAATATTTACCAATGTTTCATCATCTTGAAAAAATTGAAATAAGATATGAATCTGAATCACAAAGTGATACTAGTAGTACACAGAGTAATGAACAGTTGATTGATGAGATGAACAATTGTGTTTGTGAGACAATTAAAGTAAATACTTCAACATTAAAATCTCTGTCTCTTCATGTCTCTTACACTGTCAAGTATTACCCAGTGTGTACAACAGTTGTTAGTAACCTACCTAGTATGTTCAATCTTGTAGCAATATGTATAAGTGGTATGTTTACTATGAGTCCTGTAACAATGAGTCATAATGATACTACTACATTTTGTAATTTTCTTGAGGGAACCAGTCATCTTGAACAAATACATCTTTTTGATGTTACATGTAAGTGTGAGAAGCAGCATAATGTAAATTTATCAAAACATCAACAACTTCAGGCCCTTTATTTATATGATACTGTTAGTGTGATAGATGCTGATACTAAAAACCTTGAAATATTTAATCCTGCAACTTTGAAAAATAGTAATTATGAGAACATATTTGATATTATTAGAAAATCTTACAAATTAAAAGAACTTGTATTGTATGGAGATGAATACAATAAATCTCAATTATATCATACCAACATAACAAAGAGACTAGTCAGAGTATTACCATTGTTACATAATCTCAGTAAGCTAAGGTTATGGCATTGTATGTTAACTGACAATATAATACAGTTACCTTTAGAGATGAAGAGTTTAAAGTACATTGAGCTTTATATGGTCATAATGAGTTTGACAACATGGCAGAAGTTTGTTGATAGTCTTCCTAGTATACCTCATACTGTAGATGTGAGTGTAGATGCCTGGTATATATCAGGAGATGGTGAGGAGTTTAATGATGATATGTTACCATTGATATTACAAGTACGTAGAGGAGGGAAGAGAAATGATGCTAAACAGTATGTAGAAGATCAGGATCAGTTATTTCATGTTAAACGTGATGATGTAGTTTGGTTTGAATTTTCAACAAAAAAGTGATAAAAGCGTCCATTTAGTATACATGAAGTTAACATATAGTGTTAAAACCAAATTATTGCGTGTTAAAAGAGATGATAACTTGGATTTTTATTTTCAACAAAAAAATGATCTGAATTTTTAACATAGTGATATAGAATACATGCAGTTAACATAGTGCTTAATTTAAATTATTATTTCATAATTATTAAAATAAATATTATCAGCAAAAAGAAAAAAAATACTAAAGTTACATATTGATATGTTAAATAATGATTGTAATACAATATGATAACTAACAATCATCACAAACAGTTCTTTAAATATTAATTTCTGGTCATTGTAGTAATATTGAAATTGATGAAAGTAATATTCAAATGTATATTTAAATAAATAAATGAAAGATATGCAGTGAAATATAAAGTAAATATAGGTAACTGTTTTTTTTAAAGATCAGGATAGTTTGTGAAAAGTATAATTTGAAAAAGTAATAGGTTCTTTGAATTATAAATACATAAATAGATAAATAGATTAGCAAGTAAATGAATAAATGAATAAGTAAATATAATAAGTAATTTGAATGGAAATATCATAAAACAGAAATTTAATGTACAAGGTCATAAAAAGTAAAAGATTAATATAACATTCAAATGCCAGTTATATTATATAATATATGATAGGATAAGGGAATGGTATATGTAATTACCAGTTATATGTAAAATAGGACAAGGGAATGGTATATATGAATACCAGTAAATGATATATAAGACAAGGGAATGGTATATATTAATACCAGTTATATGATATATAAGACAAATGTTTGGTATATAAAAATTTGAATGGTATAAATGAATACCAGTTATATGTTATATAAAGCAAAGGAATGTTATATGTAAATTCCTGTTATACAATATTTAGACAATGGAATTATTTATATCAACACCAGTTATATGATATATAGGACAATGGAATGGTATATATAAATACCTGTTAGATGATATATAGGACAATGGAATGGTATATATAAATACCTGTTAGATGATATATAGGACAATGGAATGGTATATATAAATACCTGTTAGATGATATATAGGACAATGGAATGGTATATATAAATACCTGTTAGATGATATATAGGACAATGGAATGGTATATATAAATACCTGTTAGATGATATATAGGACAATGGAATGGTATATATAAATACCTGTTATATATAGGACAAGTAAATTGTTTGATTGAGATGAGGACCATTTACATGTTATATTTTAGAGATTCCTTCTTTGATTGTTTTATATTGTAAAGATTGTAAAAATTTACAAATTGTAATTATGGAAAACCATAAATGTGTACAAGTTAATACTGTGAGTCAGTATTATTCAAACAGTATCGTTAAAGGGTCTCCACTGAGGATAATATTTTCTTAATTTCTTGACATGATAGGACGGGAGTTATGTTGTTGAGGTTTCATACTATTTGAAGAAGATATATTATTTTTCATGTATAAAATTTGTATGCAAAATTTCAGATTATTTGCTCACTTTGTTTTTCCAAAATACAAGTAATCATTTTAGCTCGACTATTCAATGAATAGCTAATGCTATAATAGTACTTACCGCATTGGCGTCAAACTTAGGTTACTTTTATGTGTGCAAGTTGGTATCTAAAAAACTACTGAATGAAAATTTCAATTGACATTCTTGTTCTTAAACATGACTAACACAAATCCCATACCTCTCATATTTTTTCCTCATATTTATTCCCCTTTTACTACTTAAAAAATCTTGGTTAAGTTTTTACGTATAAGAGTGAATTAGAACTTCACACACATATGAGAGTAATAGGAAGTTACTGTCTGAGCACATAGATATTTGACAGAATTATTTCCATTTTTGAAGTTAGATCATTCTGCATTATCCATCAATGTGGATAGTCAAGCACAATGTCCTGTCGACAGTGTTTCAATGTTTATAGCTAAAGTCCGTCTGAAAATTACACTTCATTAATATTGATTTTCAATTTTATTCCGAGTATATTTCTTTAGTATCATTTTTTCCCTTATTGAATAACCCGATTAATCAGTTTTGGCTTTTCTATTTTTATTCTTTATTGTTTGGCTTTTGGACCTCAGTGGAGGTCCTTTAAGTGAACTATTTGCTGTTTATGTTAGAATGATAAATTTAAACACTAGGCAAGTATAGATATACCTTGCTGTAAGTTTAGATGTACTAGTATATACTGTTACTACATAGACAGTATAACATAATTGTAAATTAAAACAAGTTATACACCATAGGTGAAAATATGATTTCATGATGCCTTCATACATATCCGCAATAGAAATGTACACTTAAGGTAAAAATATACATGGCTGTCAGGTGTTAGTGCTTATTGACTCTTCAACTGGCTTTATTGCCTCTCGTTTACACCTCGGGGATATATACTAGCTCTCAGCTGCCCCTCAGAGGTATATACAAGTTGTCGGTGTCACTTCGAGATATATACCAGTTTCCACCTCCCCTTTGGTAATATATACCAGTTTCTAGCTCCCCTTTGGTATTATATACAAGTTCTTAGCTGCCCCTTGGATTAGTGATATATACCAGTTGTCGGCTACACCACAGGGATAAATACCTGCTTTTGGCTGTCCCTTAGGGATATATACCTGCTGTCGGCTACACCTCAGGGATATATACCAGTTCACAACTCCCCCTTAGAATATATACCTGTTCTCAGCTACACCACAGGGATATATACCTGCTTTTGGCTGTCCCTTAGGGATATATACCAGTTGTCGGCTACACCTCAGGGATATATACCAGTTCACAACTCCCCCTTAGAATATATACCTGTTCTCAGCTACAACACAGGGAAATATACCTGCTTTTGGCTGCCCCTTGGGGATATTATGTTCGTTCTTGAATACACCCTATGGGGGATGTATTCCATTTCTCGGCATAAGTCAGTTCTCAGTTGCCCCTCAGGGATATATACAAGTCTCAGCTATACCTAAGGGATATATACCAGCTCTCAGATGCCAATATGCTCTTTCACACAGACAGCCATATTGTAAAAGTTTATATACTATAAGATATTTATGTTCATAGATAATTTATGATAGGTTCAATTAGAATTTTTAGTTAAACAATTTGTCACATTTTAGTACCAAGACATTATAACATTAAAGGCATACAAAAGTTATATTTCTGCTGATGTTAACATAATTATGATATGTTAGTTTACATGTATTGTAAAACAAATGTTACATGAAATAAATCAAAGTTATATACCAAGATTAAGAAATGCTATATGTAAACACATAATTATTACGCATGTCTGTTTGTTACATGAAATTCTGATTGAATGTATATAGTACATAATTATGTAAACATATTATTACATGTAAATAAATGTTTATGGGATAATTACAAGCTATTGCAATCCTTTTATGAAGATAAGCTTATATTATTTTATAACAAGTAATGTTATGTGACATACATACATTTTAAACAGTTATACCTGTTTGTTTTAAAGGCCCATTAAGACTGAAAAAAAATGCAATCACTTTTATTTTTAAAAACTTTAATTTTGTGTTCAAAAAGTTTCTTATTGGCTATATATCTAAGCCATCTTGTTTTGTTTTTTTAGCTCACCTGTCACAAAGTGACAGGGTGAGCTTTTGTGATCGCTTTTCGTCCGCCGTCCGTCCGTCCGTAAACTTTTACTTTAAATGACATCTCCTCATAAACCACTAAGCCAATTTCATCCAAACTTAAAAATTGTTCAAAATATTTAATTCCATGCAGAACTCTGGTTGCCATGGCAACAGAAAGAAAAAACTTTAAATATCTTCTTTTAAAAAACCATAAGAGCTAGAGCTTAGATATTTGGCATGAAACCTTCTCTAGTGAGTGTCTACCAAGTTTGTTCAAATAAAAGCCCTGGGACCAAAATTGGCCCCGCCCCAGGGGGTAATTGATTTTCCCTATATGCATATAGTAAAAACTTAAAAAATCTTCTTTTAAAGAACCCAAAGAGCTAGAGCTAAGATATTTAGCATGAAACATGTTCTAATGGGTGTCTACCAAGTTTGTTCAAATAAAAGCCCTGGGGTCAAAATTGGCCCCGCCCCAGGGGGTCATTGATTTTCCCTATATGCATATAGTAAAAACTTAAAAAATCTTCTTTTAAAGAACTCAAAGAGCTATGGCTAAGATATTGAGCATCAAACATGCTCTAATAGGTGTCTACCAAGTTTGTTCAAATATAAGCCCTTGGGTCAAAATTGGCACCGCCCCAGGGGGTCATTGATTTTCCCAATATGCATATAAAGTAAAAACTTAAAAAATCTTCTTTTAAAGAACCAAAAGAGTTAGAGCTAAGATATTTAGCTTGAAACATGTTCTAATAAGTGTCTACCAAGTTTGTTCAAATAAAAGCCCTGGGGTCAAAATTGGCCCCGCCCGGGGGGGGGGTCATTGATTTTCCCTATATGCATATAGTAAAAACTTAAAAAAATCTTCTTTTAAAGAACTCAAAGAGCTATGGCTAAGATATTTAGCATCAAACATGTTCTAATAGGTGTCTACCAAGTTTGTTTAAATAAAAGCCCTGGGGTCAAAATTGGCACCGCCCCGGGGGTCATTGATTTTCCTTTTATGTGTATAGCAAAAACTTAAAAAATCTTCTTTGAAAAAACCCAAATAGCTAGAGATTAGATATTAAGCATGAAACATCTTCTAGCAAGTGTCTACAAAGTTTGTTCAAATAAAAGCCCTGGGGTCAAAACTGGCCCGGCCCCAGGGGTGTCATTGTTTTTAACTATATGTGTATAGTAAAAACTTTAAAAAAATCTTCTTTCAATAAAGCCCAATGAGCTAGAGCTTAGATGTTTAGCATGAAACATCTTCTTATGGGTGTCTACCGAGTGTGTGCAAATAAAAGCCCTTGGGTCAAATTGGCCCTGCAACGATGGGGGTTGGGGGGCCTATATACAGGTGAGCGACCTCAGGGCCATCATGGCCCTCTTGTTTTGCATTTTGGCAACTAGTACAGTTATGATGTTTAAGTATTTTATATGGATGTGAAATAACCATTTTGTTTGCATTTTGTGACACTAATCATATTTTCTTTTCAAACTCATTTTTGTCAGGGGATAAGAATATCACATGTTGTAAATCTATTATTACAACATAACCAAACACATATTCGCCCTTTTTACAAAAATAAATATCTATACATTTCTTACTTGTAATGTGCCTTTAAACTTTAAATATATATGGAGTAAATTCATCTAGTATATAAATAAACATATAATTACATGTAATTGTTTAATTACTAGGTATATGGATGTTTTTGTTTATTTTATGTTTAGGTATGTTATGTCTTATTAACATATGCATCAAACATGTTTGTTTGTAATTTGGAATATAGATTATATCATTCAAGTACATCTGTATACCTTTATGCACATGTATATGATGACAAATTGTCCATATTTATACTTAAGTTAAGTTAAGATAAGTTTAATGTGGAATATGTTATGTCAATTGTACATACTTATATATTATACATGAACAAAAACTTGAAATTGAAAAGTATGTAGACAATTAAGTAGACATAATTCTGTTTGTATAAATATAAACTTGTCTGAGAGCACTTATCAATTTGAAATGTGCACAATTCTATTCTCTTTATTTATTAGAACTTTGTTTGTTTATTAGAATAAGTTTGTTTAATGAAGAATTGGAAGTTAACAAATGATAAAATATTTCGTTTTATGCGTCATAAGTAATGTGATGGAAACAAGAAATTTAACAGTTCTATTCGGTATTATATCAATTATAACTTTGTTACAGTGTTTCTTGATTTGTAATTCTATAAATGGATAATTGTTAAAGCTATAGAGAACTATATGGGATTTAAATTATAGCAATACACACTCCTTCAGCCATTGATTGCAGTGGCGGATTCAGGCCCGGGCTTCAGGGCTGCAGCCCCCCCCAGCTGGGCCCAAAGATAAGTTTACCAGCTGGGCTGGAATATATTTTTGTCAGTTTCATACTTTATTGACTGTAGTATACTCCCTTATCAAAACATTTATTGCTGTCATCCAGTTGTTAATCTCCTGCCTGGGGGCTTATCAGAGATCTTTATCTATCAACATGCTTGAATGACTTCAGTGCATAATTGATTGGTTTATCACTCTCCAAAGGACTAATGAAATTAATAGTCAGAAATAGTGGCAAATAGATGTTTTACATAGTACACCTTATTTAACAATCTTTGTTTTTCTATTTTCTTTGGGAAAGCCCTATAATTAAGAAATTGAA